AAAAAATAATTATACTGCTAATCTTCTGTGTATCATTCCAATTTTAGTATATGTACTGCCGAAGTGAGCACTGCTATCTATCTTGAGACTCAAATCATCCTAGGACTGTCCCAGTCCCTTCAGACTAGCTTCTGTGTTTTTTTTTTGTTTTTGATGTGTCCCCATTATTCTTTGAGCACTTCCTCACTTTCTGGCACAATAAGATATTCCAGGCTCATCTTGTACTTTCCCTGCCCCAGTCCTAGAATCAGCCAAATCTGTAAGGGGTCCTAGTTGGTTGTAGTGGAGAATGATATTTAGAAACTGAGATCTGTGTGCTGGGAGTGGTCATTGCTAGTGGGTATCACTGCTCCCATGCCCTCTCAGTGAATGAGCTAGGAAATACATGTGCATACATACACATCTGTGTTTATTTCTGAATCTATGTATATATGAGAACCATGGGTTCACACTGATAGCTCTAATTACAGTTCAGTACCACAGGGTTCATTCCTATTTCCTTTCTTTCCATATTTGTAATTTCCTTCTCCAGCTGGTACTATTATCCTTAATAGATTTGCATATTGGATCAGTTCCCCCCTGTATGTAACGAGTTTCCTATAACTGCCACTCCTAACCCCTCGTGGATGCTCTCCTCACCTCACTTGAGCTGTGGTACCCCACACTAGGTCCCCCTTTGCAGGGTCACCCTCCTCATCGTGCTCAGGCTGTGACATGCTGGGCCATCACTCTTGTCACCCCTCTGCATGATGTCCTCTTCACTCTACTTGGGCTCTAACACCCCATGCCAGGCCATTCTGCTATGTAGATACCCTCTTTACCCTACTTAAGTTGCAACACCCTACCATGGCTACCTTGCCTACTCCTACCTGATGACTTTTGGACTGAACTGTTGGGAAAAGGCCTGAAGAAAGGCTCTAATAATTTTTATTTTTGAGACAGGATCTCACACTTTTGCCTGGGCTAGAGTGAGAGTGCAGTGGCATCATCATAGTTCACTGTAGCCTCAAGCTCCTGGGCTCAAGCAATCCTGCTACCTCAGCCTCCTGAGTT